TTTTGATCCTTATTTACACTTTCAGTTTCTCACGCCCAGGTTTAGTTGAACTTTAACATGTTTTAAATTTAAATGAAACAACAGATCTATCTTGAAGAATACGCATATGATATATTTCAGGCTTTTCATTTTTTATCAGAAAATATAAATTACTTAGTAAAATTTTCAAATTAGTTTTTATGGTTTAGATCTAAAATGTCTCCCAAAATCTCATGTGTTTGGGGATGGGGCCTGATTGGATGGGGTGGGCCACTGGAGACATGACCTGGAAGGGTATGCACTTGTCCCCAGATCCTCCCCTCCCTCTCTGCTTCCTGGCTGCCATGAGGGGTGCAACTTTCTTCTGCCTGGCCCTTCCACCATGTCATTTTGCCTTGAAGCCAGCTACCCATGAACTGAAACATTTGAAAATTGTGATCCAAGACAAACCTCTCCACCTTTAGTAGTGGACATTGAATATTTTGTGCCAGGGTTGGGAAAGTGACTAATTTAGCAGTTAATATTGATCTCTATAATATAACTAAACTTTGTAATTTAATGTTTTCCTTGATGATTTCCAAAGAATGTCGCTTAACTGGAAAGTAGTTCATAAAATATTTATATTTATTTTAGCAAAGATCTTAGAATTAAGGTATAAAATTAAAACTAGAGTACAAAATTCAAGTCTTTATACAGAGTAGATTATGAAGACTATAAGTCCAATAACAAATAGTTCATTATGTAAATGCACAAACGTGAACAATGTAAGTGAATGTGTAAAAGAAACAAAAACATTTTCTATCCTACAATGTTTAATGGTTGAATATTCTTAAAGCTTTAAGGTACTTTCTTTAATTGTCAGGCAAAAGGATTATTAATGTAAGCAAAATTATATTTATATATATTTGACTGAAGCCAATAAATATAAAATTTTCAAAGTAAAGGATAAATTGTGCTTATATATTTAGTAATTGATGATGTTTCTAATCATTTATATGTTGTGATATTATACTATAAATGTGAGAACTGTTTCAATTCAAAGGGATAATTTTATAAAAACATATAGAACACCAATAAAGGGTACAAAGTATCATTTATTTGCATATAATACCATAAATATTATTCTTTATGTATGACAGGATATATAATAATAATTGACTTATAAAATCATATTTTCTCTCTCAGTGACTGTCCGAACACTGAGGTACGAGACTATACAAATCTGTGTGTGTGTATAACTTCTATTTAGTAAATAAAATTTAATATATATTTTTTCTAGAAATAACTCATTATTATCAACAAATGAACTATTTCTAGTACTGAGTGGGAAAAGGTGGAGTATCTTGAACCCCAAGTAAGTGGTTGACAGATTTAAAAATTTTATGCACCAGTAACAGATTGATTATGCAACCTATAAAGTGAACACATTTGGGAATTTTAAAATTATCATCAGAAAGTTATACAGCACATAATTTCTCATTTAAAGAACAGAGCCTGAGTTGATGAATCATTAATCCAAAGAGGAACATTTAAACCAGAATCTGTGAATTTGAGAATCCCATAAGTGTGTGGAGTTGACAAGAAAAGCAAGTGTGGCTGTTTAGAGAAGACTAGTGCTGAGTTTGTAATTATCAAGTGAATGTTTGATTTTTGTTTACCCTAAAGCCAGGATTCATCCAGATGATTATATCACATCAAAGATGTAGAAAAAGAAATAAATCATTATAGTAAAATGGACACAGAAGAAACATATATAAAGAGATGCTTTGGTGATTTTTCTTAAAGAAAAAGAAAAAGAATCAGACTAAGTCAATAAAATAAGACTGAAGGGGCAAAAAAGTCAAGCTTTGTTGGTTTCTTTTCAGAAAACTGATAACTGTTAACAAATCCAAAGATAAAACACAATAAAAAATCCTGGATGAAAACTATTTGAAAAATAATAGTGAAGTAAAAGAAAGCTAAGATCATATTTCAAGAAAAGGAAGAAAAAAATCAATATTATTTTAAATTTTCATAAACAATTTGGTTCACATCAAAATCTGAGTTGTTTTCTATAAGATGTTATTACCATAGGAAAAATTGGTATCCATAAGCAATGTCTAACCTGTTTCTTTTCTTAAGTACTAGATTCCACTTTGTGATATGTTCAGCACTTTTTTCTCGTAAGATTGACTTTATAAAGAAATATGACCATCTAGTTGGTGAATTTTGTAGGAGCAATTGTAGAAAAATTTCATTAACAGAAGCAAATACCTCCAAGATGATTGTAATATGGATGTATTGCAAACATGTACTAATAAAGAATTTTTAAAATTGAAAAATTTACCTTATCACTTGGCTTAATTTACAACCATACTGTAACATTTGCACATTCTGAGTTTTTTTTGACCATGCCTCTCTTCTACCATTTTTTCCTATTTTATATTTCAGCACACTTTATCAAAGATCCTTTAAAATATCACTTTATCAGAGATCTGATGATCTGAGTTCTGCCCTTGAGTTTTCTTATGTATAAAAATTGTCTAAGATCTCTTCTATTTTTAACATTTTATAATCTACATTTACATTTTATGCAAAAGTTTAATACATTTAGGATAAGGTGAAATTCTTCATTGTTAAATTGAAGGTTCTTCTTTATTTACTTTCATTATGTACATATATTTAATAGAAAAAAGTGGCATCCCAGTGTTTTAACACTGTCAGACATGATATACCTACAGTAAAAGTAACTAGAGAGTATTTTTAGAAAACTTACTCCAGAGAAATAAAACTCTAGAAAAATAAAACTTAGCTTTATAAAAGGTAAGCCACTCTCCCAAATAAGCTGTTTCTGTTGTCGTTTAAAAAAAGGATTTTCCCTTTCATTTTTCTTGTTTAAAGCTAAGGATATTTAAGATAGGAATTACTGTGGCTTGCTGATTAATTCCAGGGTCTTTTCTAAGGAAACTATTTTATAATATAGAAAATTCAGACTAAGAATTATTATTAAAATGTATACATGCTGCTGTAATCTACATATTATCTCAGCTGAAGAATTTATTTAATAAAATGATTATGACATCATTCCCCACCAGCTCATTCAGGAGGCTGATGAACACAGATTAAACACACCTGCTGAAAGAGAAACATGATCTGGATCCATGGCTGGGGATCTTGGCTGATGAGAATGAAACTGGACTTACTGTACAGGCAGTAATGACCCTTCAGGGAGCATGTGAAGAACAACTTTGCTACACAACTTCTCACTGTATCTAGAAACAAACACACATAGCAATAAAATTAGTTTCTTCCCAGAGTTACACTTTATGCTCCAAGTTAACACCCTTAGAAATCTCTCTTCAGATTTTGATTGTGAGCTCCAAACACCTGTGTCTTTGGGAGTGATATATTTTGTGGAGAAGGCAAATTTAAATGAAGATGTTTTAAATGGTTCTTATTCTATCCATTTTCCCCTTATTTTAATTAACGATTTGTGAAGAATCTTCAAGCAGCTGTCATGGTAGAAAAAACCCACCTTCTCACTAATAAAAAGGGAGATTTCACATCATCTTTATCTGATTGGTCACCTCAAAGTGATAGCCTGGGAAGAATACACAATGGAGGGAGGGAACTCAGGCATTTTCTGGGCAGTGAAAAGTATGTCATGAATTATGGACATTGTTCTCTTGCTTATGCAGAAGCCACAGAGACAGCTTCCAGAGTAACTCTGCCAGAGATATGGCTTCCTATGAACTAGCTGGTCTGGTTTGAAAAGTTCTCATCTTGAGAATCTTCAGATAGGAGACTTAATGAGATCATGCTATAGGGACCAGAAAATGGGCTGGTGATGTATATAGCAGAGGTGGTGAGGAGCCATGTATAAAAATAGTCAATAAAGAATGAATGAAAGTAAACATGGATTGAGATTATATGTGGTAGACAGTGTGGTGAGTGGTGGATAATAGTCGTCACTAATTGATTTCCATATGTATTACATGCTTGATTCCATTTAATTTATACAATTCTACAAATAAAATATTATTATTTCCATCTCTACAAAGTCAGCCTGCTTTGTTCACTACTATGATTTTGGCACCCTGTAAACAAATAAGTAAATAGATAAATAGTGTCTGGACAGATGAATGATGGATGATGTCTAGGGATCCAGAAAACACTGCTCAAGGGTGCTCATCCTGCGGCAGAGCCAGGATTTGAATTCAGCAGGGCTGTTACTACACATTAGGCTCTACCATACTGGGGACTTAAAAATCTTGTTGAATCATGTTGATAGTTCATAAGAATTTATTAATCTGATGTTTTCAATGAAATGTTTTGAAAGTTAACAGACTCATTATGCCCTACTCTTAAAAGTGGAAATGGCCTAGAATTTCAATAAAGGTGAAAAAGTTGGTCACCACCTAAGACAGTGTATTGAAGCTGATTGTCTCAGTTATTTTATTGTAGTGATAGAGAGCTTGACTAATATAATAGTAATTAAAATTTTTGAAACTGGTTGCCTGAAAAACTAAATTTAAATTAATCTATGATAAAGAAACAGGACACCAAGTATTTCACAAGAACATACAGACAAAAGTGGTATTTGAAGTACATCTAAATATAATGTTTACACATTAAGACAGTAATATGTTTTACTTCAATAGAAAGTTTCCAAGGGGAACAAGTTCTTTTCTAAAAGCCCATGCAATTAGCTTGACAGTTGAACTTCAGGCCTTTGTTATGAAAAAAGTTTTTTTCTTTTTCCTTCCCTTAAAAATTTACTGCTTACTTGTTTATTTTGGAAATAAATATTGATTAAATTTATTTCACTAAGCCTGAGTCTCCTAGCTTTTTATTCACAAACCACAGGAGGTTCACATCATATAAAATGGTTAAAACAGTAGGAGTGGAAGATACTTAACTTAGAAACATATACACTGGCTGTAAAAATAAATCAATTCCGTTATATTAGCCTTCTGTTAATGCTTTCAGTAAACCTGGTCTATATAGAGCTTTCCTATTTTCAAAAATTTTTCCCACAGCCTCAAAATTCAGTTGTTAATTTTTCTCTATAAGTTTTTCTCTTTGGTTTATTCCATAGTCCCAAATAATAGGTATGCTATAAATAGTTGTTGGATGAATGGATGAATGGATGAATGAATGAATGTCAGACACTGTCCTGAGAGCAATCGGGGTCGTGATGGACCTCTCTGTTGCAAAGTTTATATCCAAATGTTAGACAAGTCTGTAAACAATGATTGCAAATTGTTTTAAGTTCATGAGATAATAGAGGAACACACAAGTAAGCTGCCCAGAGAAATGAGCAAGACATTCAGATCGTGGAGCAAGGGAGCAGATGTTTGAGGTGGAGCTTGAAAAATGGTCAAGATTTTGATTTTAGAAAAAGAATTTTTTTTTAGAAAAAGAATTTTAAAGATAGAGAATGCTAGAAAAAAGCTATATAAGGCACAAATATTGAAGTTAATTCCAGGTAATATGTTTAGTGTATCTGGGTCATTAAAATAGCTTTTTACAGGCTGGGGATGTAGCTCAGTAGCGTCGCACCTGCTTGGCAAGTGGAAGGTCTTGAGTTCAATTTCTAGTACTGAAACAAAAAAGCTTTCTACTTATGTGATTGATGTTCAAAGGGTTATTCATTTTTCTAGACTAAATGTTGAAGACAGAGGAGGTGATAAATATAGAATATTTTCTGTTTTACCAAACCTGATAGTTAAACTTTACTTTTGGTAGAATGTGGCTTCTTTTCCTAAAAATCTCAAGATTTTGTTTGGCTTTTGCAAAGACTGAACTTAATATAACCATCAATAATTTTTTTAATTAAGTTTATTGGTACATTTTATGTATACAATACGGTGACATTCATCATTGGGATCTTGTACCTTTACATGATATATCTTGGTTCTTATTTTTCCCCATTCTCCTGCCTTCCCTTCAACCCCTCCACCCCTGCCTGTTTACAAAGACTTTGTTTCCATGTTTTTCCTTTCCTCATATTTTTTCCTTTCCCTTCCCATACCCCTCCCACTTCCCCTTTCCCTTTAGACCTTTTCTTTCTATTTCACATTATCAATTATACATTTTGATCCTTATTTACACTTTCAGTTTCTCACACCAGAGAAACTATTTCATATTTACACATGTGTGTCCTATTTATTTCACTTAAGAGTATGGCCTCAAGGTGCATCCATTTAGCTATAAATGTCTCTCATTTCTCATTCTTTATGGCTGAGTAGTACTCCATTTTATAAAAAACCCACATCTTCTGAGCATCAATAATTATTAAATATAATATATTGTATGCTAAAATATTCAAAATATATTCATTATATGGACAGATAAATTTAAAGACATGATACTCAAATGGAAAAATGTTTGGTCTTCTTTCTGAATCAAAATCTTTAAGAATCATTTTTTAATTCTTTTTTCTTTGGCCACTCTTCTCTCATAGTGCCATTCATATTTCTTTATTCCTGAACAGCATTTACTGTACCATATTCACATTTTCTGTTAATATTTTAAAAATAAACCTTAGAGTACTTTTACTTTTACAGAAAAATTGGGAAGATGGCATAGAGTTCAAATATATGCTATACATCTAGTTTCCCCTACTATTAACATTTTACTTTAGTATGGCATATTTGTTGCAAAAAAGGAATCAATATTGATATATTATTATAAACTAAACTCCATAGCTTTATTCACATTTCTTTCGATTTTAACCTAATTTATTATTCTTGTCCTAGGATTACATACAAGATGCTATATAACATATGTGTTTCAGATGTCCTTCGGCACTATTGACTATGACTTTCAGAATTTCTTTGTTTTTCATGACCTTGATAATTTAGAGGAGTACTTTTGTCAATTACCATTCCCCCGCAATTGGGATGTATTCCCCCCACCCCCATCCCCCGTGATTAGACTGAGATTTCAAGTTTTAGGAAGGCACTATCATAGAGATAAAGGGCCATTTTAATTTATTTTTTTACTTTTATATTTTCATTGGTACATTTTATGTATATATAATGATAACATTCATTGTAGGGAATTTGTTCCTGTACACAATATATCTTGCTTCTTCTTTTTTTTCCCCCTTCTCTCCCTTCATCCCCTCTTCCCCTCCTTATTTACAAAAATTTTGATTCCATTTTTTTCCCTTTTATTCTCCTTTTTTTTTTCTTGGTCCTTTCTCCCCCCACCCTTGTTCCCCTCTCTATCTGAACATTTTCTTCCCATTTCCCAGTATCTACTATACATTTTGGTCCTTATTTACACTTTAGGTTTCTCAAACCTGAGAAACGATGTGGTATTTAAAAACATGTGTCCAATTTTTTTCCCATAAGAGTATGATTTCATGGTGCATCCATTTAGCTAGAAATGTCTCAAGCTTATCCTTCTTTATGGCAGAGTAGTACTCCATTGTATTGAAAAGCCACATCTTCTTTATTCATTCTTCAGTTGATGGGAATTTGGGCTGTTTCCAAGTTTTAGCTATTACAAATTATGATGCTATGAACATGGGTGGACGTATGTCACTGTGGAATGATGCTTTTAATTCATTTGGAAAGATACCAAGAAGGGGAATAGTTGGGTCAAATGAAACCTCTAGTTTTAGTTTCTTGAGGAATCTCCACATGATTTCTACAGTGGTTGCAACCAGTCTACACTCCTACCAATAGTGGAGAAGAGTTCCTTTTCCCCCACAATGAGCATTTGATTGGTTGATGTCTTGATAGCAGCCATTCTTTTTGGAGTGAAATGGAATCTTAGCATTGTTTTCATTTGCATCTCTTAAATGACCAGTGATGTTGAACATTTTTTCATATATTTGTTTGCCATTTCTATTTCTTTTTTTTCTTTTGCTTAAATTCTTTTATTGGTACATTTTAGGTGTACAATACTTTTACATTTATTATTGGGTACTTGTACCTGTACATGATGTATCTTGGTTCTTATTTTTTCCCTATTCCCTGTCCTCCCTTTACTCCCTCCACCCTTCGCTATTTACAAAGACTTTGTTTCCATTTTTTCCTTTTCTTATAATTTTTCCTTTCCCCTTCCCCTCTGACTTCCCTTACCCCTTTGGAACTTTTCTTCCTATGCCATTTCTATTTCTTCATCTGAGAACTGTCTATTGATTTCAGATACACATTTTTGGATTGGGTCTTTAAATTTGGGAAGTCTAATATTTTAGAGTTCTTTATATATTCTAGATATTATTCCTTTTTCTGAGTAACAGCTGGCAATTTTGTTT